TCAGTGAAAGAAGCCAGACATAGAAAAATGCTGTGTGATCTCATTATCTGTGGGCTCTGAAGTAGTCAAATTTACAGGAGCAGAGAGTAGTATGATGGCTGCTAGGGGGTGGGGGGAGGGGAAATGGGAGGTGATGGTCAAAGGGTGCAAAGTTATAGCTGTTCGAGATGAGCGAGTTCTGGGAAGCTATAGCATCACGCTTCTAGCTAGTAATGCTGTGTCATTGTGTACTTCCAACTTGGTAAGAGGGTCGATCTTACGGTAGGTGGTCTTACCACACCCAGAATAACAGTAATGGTAACCATGATGATGCTAAAGAATTAGAATAAGAATAGGGATGGAGGGAGACTTTGGGAGAGAATGGATGTGTTTATGGCCTGATGGTGCTGATGGATTTACGGGTGTCCTTACTCCCCAACTCACTGAGTAATATATATAACTGTTTACATATCAGTCATACCTCAGTAAATTGGGTTAAAAAAAGACTCCTCTGAGAATTTAAAAACCACAAACAGGGGGCGCCTGGGTGGCTCACTGGGTTAAGCCTCTGCCTTCAGCTCAGGTCATGATCCCAGGGTCATGGGATCGAGCCCCACATTGGGCTCTCTGCTCGGCAGGGAGCCTGCTTTCCTTCCTCTCTCTTCTGCCTGCCTCTCTGACCACTTGCGATCTCTATCTGTCAAATAAATAAATAAAATCTAAAAAAAAAAAAAAAAAAACCAACAACCCCACACAAATAGCCCTTTATGGAGGGTCAGGGAGCCTTGCCCTACTGTGTTTCTAGAAGTGACCCCCTCACTTTGGTGCTACTTGTTTAATTTCCCTCACAAATTGAGCTCCTAGCTGCCATTGCGAGTTTCCAATCCCGATCTCCACTAGACCGGGACAACCTTAGTCCATATTAGCACTGTGCTTTGGTTGATTTCTGGTTTACTGAGATGTTTGTTTCATATGGGATAATAGCTTTATTCTTATGTCTTTCTTTAAGTGTCATTGCTGTTTTTCTTCTTTTCTTTTCTTTTCTTTTCTTTTGAAACAGAGAGAAATGAAAATATCTTGCTCTAGTCTCTGGCCCGACCACTACCACCATTTGCTTTTTGGGGGGCGTTTATTCAGATTAAGAAAGTTTTGGATCATGATAGCTGTTGAAATTTATCAAATGTTTTTCTGCCTCTGTTGAAATGATTGCATGATTTCTCTCTTATGGTTTGTTAATATCATAAACACTGACTGATTTTCCAGGGTCGAAACAACTTTGCCTTCCTGGAAAAAACCGAAGTTGGTTATGATGTAATAATATTCTTTGTATACATCACTTCATTGTTAATATTTTGTTTAGGATTTTTACATCTGTGTTTATAAGTGACATTGACCTAAAGGAGTTGGGAAAGTTTTCCCTCTTTTTCCATTTTCTGGAGAGTTTATGTAAGGTTGGAATTATTTATGCCTTAAATAATTCACCAAGGAAGGTATTTGACACTTGAGTTTATTTTTTAAATATTTTGTAAATTTTTAAAAAAGATTTTATTTATTTATTTGAAAGAGATCACAAATAGGCACAGAGGCAGGGAAGCAGGCTCCCTGGTGAGCAGAGAGCCCGATACGGGGCTTGATCCCAGGACCCTGGGATCATGACCTGAGCTGAAGGCAGAGGCTTTAACCCACTGAGCCACCCAGGCGCCCCTATTTTTTAAAATATTTTAAATTACAAATTTAATTTAATAGCTATAGAGACTAGTCAGAGTTCTCTATATTTATGAGTTAGTTTTGATGATTTGGTTGTTGTAGGAATATTTTCAGTCTATGTAAAATTTTAAATTTATTGACATACAGTGATTTTCATTACACATGTTTATTCTTTATTTTTAAGCCTCTGAGATTCTCTCTTTAAGTCTTGATGCTGGTAATTTATGGTTTACCTTTTTTGTTCTTCATAAATCACCATGAATTTATCAATGTTATGAGTCTTTTGAAGAGGCAACTTTTATTTTATTTTTTGGCTCATTCATATCTGTTCTCATATATTTTGTTCTTTTCTGCTTGTTTTATTTACTGTATTTTTTTTAACTTCTTGAAATGGATACCTAGATTATGATTTTCAGCATTTCTTTTTATGATGTCCATTTAAGGCTATTGATTTTCTTGAAATCATGGCTTTAGCTGCATTCCACAGATTTTAGCACTTCATATTTTTATTAACCTGCATTTTTAAAAAAGCTATTATTTCCATCGTGGTTTCTCCTTTGGCCCATGAGTAATTTAGATGATTATTGTGTAACTTCTAAATATTTGGGGATTGTCTAATATACTTCCACGGTGGTCAGAAAACATACCATATTAATCAGCTGAAGTTGTAATAGCGATATATCGTAGATTAGGTAGATTAAACAACAAAATTTATTTTCTCACTGAGAAGGCTGAAAAGTCCAAGATTAAGGTGCCGGCTGGGCACAGTTTCTGAGGAGAGCTCTCTTCTTGGCTTGTAGACACCAGCATCTTCTCTGTGTCCTCTTACTGGCAGGAAGAGAGAGGAAGCTCTCTAGTTTCTATTCTGATAAGGGCACTAATCTTCTCACGAGGGCCCCAGCTTCATGAGCTCATCTAACCCTAATTACCTCCTAAAGTCCTAAATACTGGCATGCTGGAGATGAGGGCTTCAATATAATAATTTGGAGAGGGATTCAGCTGTTCAGTTCATAGCACATACTGGGTAGTCTTTTAATCCCTTGATTAACTTTCTTCTGTTTTACTTAGGATTTATACTTCTCTCTTATTTAAAATTTAAACTATACCATTACATGTAAAAATTTTTATATATATTTGTCAGTTTTGTGTTCAAGGTTTTTCCTAGCTTCATGATGCATTAAAATTCTTTCTTCTTTTTCACTTTGGAACTTTTTAAAATGACATGGGAATTCACCTGTTTCTTGCAAATTTGTGGGAACTTAACTGCAAAGTTAATAGGATCTAGTCTCTCTTTTTAAAGATTTTGTTTGTTTATTTGACAGAGAGAGAGATCACAGGTAGGCAGAGAGGCAGACAGAGAGGGGGAAGCAGGCTCCCTGCTGAGCAGAAAGCCTGATGTGGGGCTCGATCCCAGGACTCTGAGATCATGACCTGAGCCAAAGGCAGAAGGTTAACCCACTGAACCACCCAGGTGCCCCAGGATCTAGTCTCTTTCTGGAATAAGATCTTTTTATAATTTCCTAAAAAGTTATTTGCTTTAACCAAGATTTTCGAGTGTGTGTTAGTTTTCTATGTTCTTTTTTTAAAAAGATTTATTTATTTGAGAGAGAGAAAGAAAACACAGGAGCCAGGAGAGACAGAGGGAGAGGGAGAGAGAGAATCCCCACTGACTGTGGAGCCTGACGTGGGGCTTCATTCCATGACCCTGAGATCATGACCTGAACCAAAATCAAGAGTCAGCTGCTTAACAGACTGAGCCACCCAGGTGCCCCAATTTTTATATTCTTATTAAGGTTTACCTTCTTAATATGTCAGGGGTGTAGAGAAATATTTTATAGCCTTTAAAAATTTTTATTACTTATCCTTTCATTTTTCTTGTATGTAGGAGCTGTACTTCATATGTATTCATGCTTTTTATTCAGTCACCATACTTGAATGATTATTTTATCTTCATCGTGAACTTTTGTCCTCATAAGTGAAAATTTTTAAATTTTTGTCCCTTATATTTGTCTCGAATATTTTTCATTTTTAAATTTTTCCTCTTATTTACACAAGTAAAATATGTTTATTATGGAAAATTAAAAATCAAAAAATCTGAAAGTCACCTTTAGATTGGCACTATTTTTTTCAAAGAACTAACTTTTTCTAATAAATGTTTATTTTAAGAAAAATCAGGGGGAAATACTGGCAAGAATGAAGAAAATAAAAATCCTATCACTTAGAGATCATCACTGTTAACATCTGGATGTATAATTATGCAGACTTTTTCCTGCATTTAAAAATGCATAAAACAATATTATATGGTATTTTTATGTTTTCTAATAAAAAATGTCAAATTTGTTTCTATGTCAGTAACTACACTTCTACTTTGTTTCTTAATGGTTGTTAGTGTTGTGCCGTATGAGTATACAGTTATTTATTTTACCCCTTATTGCAGAGCACTTTGACTATTTCCTTCCAGTTTGTAAAATTTAATTTTTTTTTTGCTATTATAAACTCTTGGAGCAAACATCCATTTATGTCAATTTTAAGCATTTTAAAATTGTTTCCTCGTGAGCTAGCTCTACAGTAACTAGTTAAAAATCCATATTTACTAGTAATTATATAGCCACACGTTAAGTTAACTATAATGTAAAACTTTCCACTCATCAGATGGGCAGAGATATGGTCCAGTATTGGTATAAGGGTAGGAAGCCAGGCACTCTCACATGCTTCTACTGGGAGTGTGAGTTGAGAGACTCTTCCTTGAATGCGATTTGGAAATATATATCAAACAGCTACTCTGGTTTTTCATTTTTGCAGATGTTTCATGAGAAAACCTGATTTTTCCAAGATCTTATTGGAAAGGAATCACATTATATATATATGTGTTGTAAATCCAATCCTAACAGAGAAGAATTTTCTTAGGGATATTCCAAATAATGAATCCAGGTGCCCTGAAAATTTCCTGAAGTGTGCTTTTAAGCATTTAAAATTTCTTTTGACACCCATATAAATCATCCTTGTCTTGGGGGCTCTACTTAAAACCAAACCCAAGCTTTTACTATGGATAGATGGAGGGACTCTAGAATGGGCAGAACTCTACTTCTCTTGTACTCTGGGCTTTCCCAGATGGGTAGAACCTTTGAACACTTTCCCGACATTTCTGGCCTCTCAGTGTTAGGTTTCTGTGTTTTCATCGCATCTAGCAATGGGGCTGCTATAGCCCTTGGGTCTGCACATGGATGTCCCGAGAACTGGAAATCGTGTACCCTCTGCCCGTTGCATGTGGTCTCACAGGACACTTCGACTTCCCCTGTTGTGTTTTGGTGCAGGTGGCATACGGGCTCTTGGGGCCCCTGCTCGGCCACCTGCGGTGTGGGAATCCAGACCCGAGAGGTGTACTGCCTGCACCCTGGGGAGTCCCCAGCCCCTGCCGCAGAATGTGGAGACGAAAAACCGCATGCCCTCCAAGCGTGCAACCAGTTTGACTGCCCGCCTAGCTGGCACATTGAAGAGTGGCAACAGGTAATATGGTGGCCTGGGGCCCCCCTCACCCACCGCCCCTGTGACTATCGAGCCCTGACCCCCTCCTTCTGCCTTCTCAGTGCTCCAGGACGTGTGGCGGGGGAACTCAAAATCGAAGAGTCACCTGCCGGCAACTGTTAACCGATGGCAGCTTTTTGAATCTCTCCGATGAGTTGTGCCAAGGACCCAAGGCTTCTTCCCACAAGTCCTGTGCCAGAACAGACTGCCCTCCCCAGATCACTGTGGGAGACTGGTCGAAGGTAAGGGCCATTCCCCACTTCACAGTCCCTCCTCTTTTTTGCCCCGTCTTTACTTCAGACTCCCCAAGATGATCTGGAAGCATGTGGTTGGGGTATGTGACCTGGCAGTGGGGGAGGAGCGGCAAGATGACATCAGGAATCATCTCGACAAATAGGAAAGGACAGTTGCTGACATCGCTGTCCTTCCAGAGCCCTGTGTTCAGTGCTGGGCACAGTCAGACCCTCTTACTCTCATGTCATGCTACAGCCCTGCAAGGGCGCGGGAAGCAGACGTCAGGTCCGTGTCTTCTCACTGGCTTTTCACGTGCAGACAGGTGGTGCGTCCACGCCCTGCCCACTCTTTCTGGGAACAGGGAATGTGCAGTTGCTGACTACGTGTCATCAAAGTAGCGTGTCCGCCCATGCTTGCTTTTGTGTCTTTGCTCGTGTCCTTGCTCTCAAATCCCGGATCCAGGTCTAAGCATCCCTCTTCTGCGAAATCTTTCATCTCCTAAAACCGTGTAGCATTTCCCAGCTTTAACTCATAATGACCCATAATTTTTATTGTGTTTCATTGGGGATCTACTTCCTGAATGTGTGCATGGTTTTCCTGTCTGGCTTAGAGAGTCCGTGCGGCCAGTGGCTGTGAGATTGCGGACAGGTCCTGGAGCTCTGGCAGGCTCCGAACAGGTAAATATTCTTCCCCAAGAGTCTTTGCAAAGTCAGGGAAATGCAAAGTGCTGTGGAAGGGATGATTTTTAGAAAAGCTCAAGTCTGTTAACAAGGACAAGCAGATCATTCATTAGGAGCATTTTTGCAGGGCTGGGGTGTCTGGGTGGCTCACTCAGTTAAGCGTCCGACTCTCAGTTCTGGCTCAGGTCAAGATCTCAGGGTCGTAAGATCGAGCCCGCAGGGGGCTCCGTGCTCAGTGGGGAGTCTGCTTGCGATTCTCTTTCTCTCTCTGCCCCTTCCACTTGTGCTCTCTTTTTCTCCCTAAAATGAATAAAAAAATAAATTAATTAAAAAAAGAAGAAGAAGAAGAAGTCTTTTGCAAGGAGAAACGAGAGGAGACAGAAGAGAAGAGAAGGTCACGTGACCCACGTGAGCTGGGTTGGACCTCAGGCCTTCGGTTTCCTAGGCAACCACTGGGCAGGGCACGAGCGACTTCGCAGTCACCCCCAGAGATCAGCCCAAGCACAGTCAAGATGTCGTCCCCCATCCCAGCCAGAGCTGCATCTCTAGAAATCCCCCATCCGGGAGGCAGGGTGGGCGCACAAACACTCTCAGGGAGGCCCAGCCAGCCTCAGCCTTGGAAAGCAAAAGCCGATATCCAGACTCAGGCCCCGTCAGGCACACGTTGGGTTTCAGCTTTTCTCCTGCTCGTTGAAATTTCCTGTCCTTGCAGACTTGCTTTGTTTTGGCAGAGGCTCCGATGCCAAAGCACCACCCTCTCCAAAGGTTTCTGCCAGACGCGTCCTCCTGCCATGGGCTGGCTCGCTCGGGGGCGGCCATCCGTCTCGCGGTGCTGGACGAGGCCTCTGGATGCTGGAACTGGCCACTAACCCTGGACAGAGAGAGGCTGAGGAGCCACGCCAGAATTCCCATTTTTCAGCGAGCCAGACCTCTCCGCCTGCAGCTGGGAGCGCCCCCTTTGCCCACACTAGGTCTATTCACGACATGTGTGGGCTTTGTTTGTGTGTTGGCTCCTTCGTTTTTAGATCTGAACTCAGTTTTGGGGAAGAAGAAGCCTTCCATTCTTAACACTGCATTTCAGGTTCTAAGAAGGGAGCACTGACTCCTTTCTGGGCCGGTCTTCCCAAATGGTGGACTTCTGGGAGGCACGGACCCCTTGCAGCCTATTCTGGGGTCCCATTCCTTGATGGAAATCCAGTAAAATCGTTCCTCCTTCTTTACTCTGTGTGCTTTGATGGAGGTTTTGACCATTTTGTCTACCTTCATCACCCTCCTTCATGATGTTTCTTGGTGTTTTTTATTTTTCCTATTTACTTAACTACATCTTGTCGACTGGTTTGTCTTCCTGCAGATCTCCAAAAAGCTCAGTGTTTGACCAGATAGTTATTCGATGCGTAGACTGCATTGTTCTCCTCCACAGCTGATTCTGTGTCCTGACCTCTTCTCTGAATTCTCTAGGTAATTCTCTATCTCCACCAGCAGTCTCTAACTTTCTGTTCAGTACAGTGCCCCAGCTCTCCAAACAGCGGGTGTCTCCTAGCTGGGAAAGCCAAGAGACAACCTTTTCGTTCCCAGCTGGCTCCCCACTTCACTCCCTGTCTCTGTCCTTACGCCACCATCTCTCCAACGCTTGTGGTCGTCTCTGACTGCTTCAGCTCCTGTGTTCAGTTTCTGACACCTGCTAACTCTTCGGTTCTTGAAATTTATCCACATGCTAAGTAAAAAGGAGAAGATCTCTTTCATGAGAAACTTTTACAAAGAACAGCTCAAGGTATGTCCCGGACACGTGGCTTTATAACTATGGCATTCTAATTTCCAGTAGGCTTACTGATTATGACTCACGAGAATGAGAGTGGGCCGGAGCCCATCTGTACCAGCTTGTAAGAACCGACTGTAGTCTCCCACCTCGTGCTCAGGGACATCAGGTTGATAGCTTGAAATCAGCTGTGATGGGAACATTGACAGCACAGACATGGGCAAATGTTACAGTTAGTGCTGCCTCCCCAAGAGCTTGGGACACACACACGCGCACACACACACACACACACACGTGCACTCTTATTGGTAAGACAGTTCCAGCTCACCAATGGTCACTTACGATGGAGATGATCTCAAGAAGTTCCAGTGTCTGGACTCCTCTTCCCAAAGTCTAAGAACCTTGGTTGGGCTCCTCCAAGGTATGTTTTATCTTCATCTCCATAATTGGCGGTTGGTAGAGGGAGAAAACGTATGGCCCCTCTGAGCCCTCGCTGAGACTCCAGTCTGTCCGTCTTACCCTGCGGGGCATAGTGCCGTTTCGATCCAGGTTGATGGATCCAAATGCATCAGGGGCTCCTTCCGTGAAGAAAAGCATAATTGGCTCTGCAGGTTTATCCTAACATCTTCCTTTTATTTATTTTTTTTATTTTGTAGTATTAATTTTGAGTTTCTTAATATTAATAATCTTGTAGATAACCACTCTTCTACTTGAATAATAATGTCTTTTTAGACCCCAGATGACAGTTTACTCTTACATTTTGACCCACCTGAAATATACCCAGTGTATCCAAGTCCACACGCTTCTCTGTTTCTACTTATTTTAAATAATACACACACACACACACACACACACACACGGATATGCCTTATTTTCTTGCCTAGATCATAGCTGCCAAAGGGAAAGGACCATCTCTGTGTCTGTGTGTCCTGCTTGGTGCTCAGTAAACACTCAGTAAATACTTGTCCCGCTTGGTGCTCAGTAAACACTCAGTAAATACAGTAAATACTTGGTGCTGAAATAAAGACGCATCTAAAACCTTCTTCTCAACCGGACATGCATGCTGCCACTACCCCACGTGCTCAGTCAATTCATCAGCACACACTGCCCGCACACTGCTGTGTAGACGACCCCCAGGCCCTTGGGACCTGAGTCAGCCAAGAATTTGATCTAAAGTGAGCTCACAGTTTAAGGAGGCAGACACAGAAAATTATGTAACAAGCCCAACAAAGGGCTCCCGTCTCCAGCACTGCCTGGAAGTCGAGGGGAGACCTCTGTGTCTGCGTGGGTCCCAGGGAAATACTGCAGAAGATGAAGCCATAGAGTTGGTCTTCGATGTTGAGCGTGGGCTGGGTGGAAATGAGACCACGGGTGTCTAGGCAGTGACAAGAGCACACACGGAGGCTCCGGTGACGACCTTGTCAGTCTGGAGATGAGGATGCAGTAGAGAAGGGGAAGATGAGATGGAGAGGCGAGATTTCAGACAGACAGGGAAGGCCCTTGGGTGTTTTTACTTGTCCCTGTAGTGGTTGAGGACACTGAGGAAGGTTTCTGAATAGGGAGGTGAAATGTAGCATTTTTAGGCACACAGTTCTGGCTGTGGTGTGAACAGCACATTGCTGGGGGAGGTGGGGGAAGGAACCAGAGCCTGCGAGGGCTTTTTAGAGGAGGTTGGAATAAAACCAAGAATGAGGAAGCAGTTGGGTAGAGAATAGTAGATAGTGGTGGGAAAGGATTAGCAGACGTGGTGGGCAGATTTGGTGGCTGAACTCAAAGGAGCAAAAAAGAGGCATTGGTCCGTGCATAGAGCTGGCATCATTTTCAAAGGGAAGGAAAAGCACATGGGGGGGGTGACTTGAAAGGGAGGGAAAAATGAGTCTGTTTTGAAGTGTGTGTGGTTTGAAGCCTATGAAGGCATCCATGAGGAACTGGAGCTCAGGAGACATCCGTACCGAAGTTAATTTTGGGAAACGTCGGCATTTAAGCAGTAGCTGAAGCCACAGGAAAGAGAATACTGGGATAGAGGAGTGTCTGTTGTCACCGGAAAGTCCTTTGAAAGTAGGAGGCTTCCAGTGAAGCGAAATCAGGACAGCAGGGTGCTTGGGGAATATCCCCAGATCCTTCACTGTGGTGGGGATGAAGAGCGATGAACTTCCAGTTATAAAGGAAATGAGTCCCAGGGATGAAAGGCACAGCACAGGGAATAGGGTCAAGGACATCGTAATGACTTTGTGTGGTGGCAGGTGACTCCACGTGTCTCCGTGAGCATTTGGTGACGCATGGAGTTGTCTGATTACTCTGTTGTACACTGAAGTGCATGTAGTATTGTATGTCAACTGTAGTTCAATCGAACACACACACACACACACACACAACCCAGAGCAATCGGGGTCACCACAGGAAAGGAAAAACACAGACAGCCACTTTAACATGAGTGATAGGTGCGGGTGAGGCCAAGCCATGCCTCGTAGGGGAAACCGGGCAGAAGCTGTAAGTTTTGCAGCCGGGCCAACGGAAAGAAGGTTGGAGAGCAGGCCAAGAGCCAGGGAACACAGAAGTCAATGCTACATTG